GTAAACTGTTTATAACAATCTTATTGATGTTACACCTTACACAGTACCTAACTAATCCATTTCTCGATAATGTAACGTAAAGTACCTAATATTTACCCAGGTATGTAGGTCGTATGTGAGTGTAAATTATAAACTAGGAGTCAAGGGATACCCACCCCGCTTTTGCATGAGGCGTCCGCCTCATAAAATAGCTATTCACGCCGCCACTGCTCCCAATAGTTATTCTTAGAGCAACCAAAAGACAATTAATGAATAATACTAGTGCTTTCTACTAGATAGTAAAAGCATATTCCCAATAAATTATTCATATTCATAGAATATCCAAACATTATTTTTACAATTATTTTGTGTTGAAGTTAAGAGTTTGTTAATTTTTAAATAAAATATGAATAAAAGTTTTCATTAAATTCTAAATTAACTTTTAATTAGAACAACATACAAAATGAAAGTAGGTAAGTACATAAGTAATACCTTTAAAAAAAAATTAAATTAATGTCCACTATTTTATAGATCAAAACAAGTAGGTTATCTTCAACATATTTCCTTATATTTGTATTATAATTTTACAATCACAAATATGTATTTATATATTTTATTTATATGTATTATTATAATATAATACATTATATTTTTGTTTTTTATTATTATTGGATAAACTTTTAATTTATTAAATTCAAACATAAATAATTAATAAGTAACAACTGTATACAATACCGTAGAATGGGGTATCATTGGCCCAGATTTCGCTTTTTTTTATTTATTTTGGTGAATATTGGTAACATTTTTGTAAAAGTCGGTTACCTTATATTTTTTTCTTTTAAAATATGAATCAACTTCTTTATATTATAAGTCATTTTGAAATTTCAACACTTGAATAACCTACAATTTTTTTTCAAAAATTTGGGCCAATGTTACCTGCAATTAGGGTAACTATGTCCCACACCATTAAATTCATTGTAAACGGTGTTATTTATGATTTGGGCCAATGTTATGGTAAACTAGTATACTAAAATATTAAAGCAATCAAAATATCAACATTTATTTGATAAAAAATAATAAAAAACCTTTTTTTTATAAACGAAATTAACAATTTATATTTTAAACCTAATAAAAAAAAATAAAATACAAACTTCAGTCTCAAAGTTATGAATTACTTAAGAATATACAACATTATAAAATTATTTAGAGTTTAGGTAACCTCCTAAAGAAACTAAAGTATTAAAAAAAACAATTTATAACAAATTTATAAAATAATAACAAAAAACCTCTTTAATTTAACTGTTTAAAGTTAAAAGCTAATACAATCAAATAATAAAAAAACAAACTTCAGTCTCAAAGTTATTAATCACCCAAGAATATACATAATAAAATTATTTTTTGTTTAAGAAAACCTTCTAAAGAAACAAATGGATTAAAAATAAAAAAGTAACTTTAAAAAAAACAATGTCAAACAGTTTAATAAAATTAATATAATTTCAAACAAAATCTTCAAGTTCGAAAACTGAAAATTKATTCCGTTTGGAAACTATCTTAGGAGGGTTGATTTTTCTTAGGACGTCTTTCCAATCATACACTATAGCATCTTTTCTTTGTGGCCATCTCCAGAACTTAAGTCTTTTTTCCATACAGTCTACTACTGGGCCTTTTATGGATATACTTACAATTCTTCCAGGATATTTTTCTCCATTGAATAACACTATGACAAAGTTATCAATCTCTAAATCGTTTTGGTTTAATTTAGCTTCTTTATTAGAAAGTGCACTGACAGTTGGATTRTCGTCTGAATCTGAATCTGAGTTCAAGTCACYGATTCCATCTGACTGTAATATAATTTCGTCTAATTCTTCATCTGAAGAACTTGAGGACAATTGTATTTTTGTTTTTTTTAGATTTTATTGGCTTGGTTTTTATACGTTTTTGGTCTTCCACATTAGTAACATCATTAACTGTTATGCTTTTACCTGATGGTACCTGCAACTTTTTTCGTCTTTTTATGTTGCTTGTACCAAGATATTCAGTTCGTTTGGATTCTAGCTGGTCAATAAATGCTTCACTTATAATACTATTGTCATGTTCACTTAAATTGTTTGGCAGACGATCAAGTAAACATTGTTTATTTATAGGGTAGATACCACATTTTTTAAACCCTGAAACTAAATTTTGAGTTTTATTTTCTTCTAGTCTATTTATTAGTTCATTTAAAAGTGTAGGAAATAAATCCTTAGGTATTGTTGGGTACTTTGATCCTGATTTTGATTCTTTCCATGTTGTTAAGATGCTTCTCCATATTTTCTTCATGGGACCGAAAAAGGAAACATCTAGTGGCTGGGTGATATGAGTGGTATTTGGGGGTAAACACACAAACTTAATATTATTTTGTTCACAGAGTTCAAGAACTCTAACATTAATATGTGAAGAAAGATTATCGCCTATTAAAACAGTTGGTGCATTTTCATGTTTTACTTCTTTTAAGAAACTGAACTCAAACCAATCTTCGAAAGTAATTGAGTCAAACCAACCACTTTTAGTACGGTTGTAGCGAGCATGTTCTGGCCCACCTTCTGCCCAAGTTGTCCACATATTGTCAGCCTTATAAACCACATAAGGTGGAAGGCATTTACCCTCCGCATTGCCACAAAACATAACTGAAGTTGAGCTCCTGCTATAATTACACATTTTATCAACATATTTCATTCCTCTTTTACAAATTACTTTTTTATTTCCCGGATCATCACTAAGATTAGTTTCATCGTAGTTCCAAATTCTAGATGGTGGTATATCTTTTAATACATCACTTAAATTGTCCATATATGAATTTATTTCATCTAAACCAACTTCAGCTCTAACTCTTTTAATGTTTGAACTCATGCGCACAGAGAGATTATTATGCCGATTTAAAAATGATTTAACCCATTCATATCCCGGGAGATTATTTTTAAATATATTTATTTTGACACCTTTTTTATCAAGGTAATTTTTAACAGTTATTCGAAAGTCAGCTTCAACGACTGGAAAGCCATAATCAGCTAATTTGATTAAATGTTGCTCGAAAGCTTTTTCTTCGGCTTCAGTAAATACACGAGAGCGACCAACAGGTTTCGAGTGATTTCATTTTAGTTTATTTTTTATTGTAGATCTAGGTATACCAAAATGTGCTGCAGCTTCACGCTGAGTCATTTTACGCGAAATTACATTTTGTAAACACTCATTCAAGGTTTCCGCAGAATAATTTGCGTACTGTCTTGATCCAAGACGTTTTCTTTGAGTTCGCGGCATTTTTTCTAAATAATAAAAAATGATTCAGGTTTAAAGTATTGAAAAAAACAAAAATAAACAAATAAAACGTACCTATATAAAATTAAAAGCCACAGTAATCAAAGTTGACAGTCTTAACGTCAAAAAAATTTAAAGAATATTGGCGTCAGGTAACTTTGGCCCAACTTAGTTCTGGGCCAAAGTTACACAAAATAATGGGACAATGTTGGACCAAAATGATAATGAATGATTGTACAAAATGTTAATAATGTAATTATATTCAAACCACCATATCTTATTTCTATACTAATTTTTGTACATAAAAAAAACTTACCGAAGATTTTACGAGCGCTTCCCCGCAGTAAAGCATTTGGCTGGCTTATCATAAAATTACGTTATCATATAGTTAATATGCCATAATTCCCGCCAAATTGACCAATTTCAAATTTGAACAATTTCACATTTGTCCTAGGCCCCTACCAGGTAGCTAATAATATATAATAGTAGTTAAATTGAAAAAAATATATCATAGAGTTAATATACACATTTTTTAACTCAGTTATAGTTATTATATGTTTATTATTATACGACCCGATGATACCAATCTGCGATCATTTCACTTTAATTTTATTGRACATTCAGAGTTCAAACGTCGAAGGAAGGTTACTGTGGTCGCCTTGTATAAAWTTTTACGATTTTTACATTTCATAAAAAGGTATGAATAATTTAATTTATTATACCACAGTAGCACAGTTATTAAATTGATTGTTCTTCAAGTTCTGTTCTACACAATTTACTTTATTACATTAAGGTTTTGTACATACCAATACCATAATATTATTATTATTTTTTCTATMATTTAATGAGCGATGACAAAAATAATATTGCTTAAGAACTCCATCAAACATTTTCTTTGTTCCAGTATCTAATACATACATTGAAACTGTTTGTTGTTCTATTGTTTGCTTCCATGTTTCAAATTCTATAAATTATGAAAATAATTAATAGGAAATCAATCATAACATGAGATAGATACCCGATGAGTTACTATAATATTATAATGTAGGTACCTTTTAAATTATCAAAAGTTATCTCTTCCAGCTCTACTGTAATGTTGTGTTTAACACACAAGTGCTCTCTTAATTTAAGAGACRTAAACAAGTTTTCTTCGCATAAGTCATAAGGACATATTATTCTAGTATATTTTTCTCTTGTAGAACAATTATGAAATGTTTTCATGTGTTGAGATAAACACTTTTTATTTGTGAATTTTACATCACAAATATGACATTGAGACACTTTTGGTTTTTTGGTTAAATGTTCAATTTTATGAATATTTCGGCAATGAGCATACATATTCTTTTTTAATGTAAATGTAGCTTCACAATCTGGACATTTAATTACAGTTTTTTCCATGTTAACTCTTTGGAGCACAACATAAATGACAAAAAAAAAMCCATACTGCACAGATATTTTAGGTATATACAATTGGTTTTGCTAATGATGACTTTTTATTAATAATCTAATACAGAATTAATATGAAAAAAATAAATAAATACATTTTGTACTTAAGTATAAGTGGTGGGTTAAAATATGTCCCGTAGTGCACTATCGATAGTCGCATCTGTCACTGGTCAATATATTTTATACAAGGATGATTATGAATAATAATTTCTGAAACATAAAACAATATTATCAGTGATATGTAAGTATTTAAATAATTTAAATAATATTATGATTTACCTTCAACTACTGTGGTATTGTACAAAGCAAGTCTTGTTTTTTCCCAAGCATAACGGAACATCACAAATTGAACATTTCCAATTTGTTCGAGTTTCGTTATCTTTTGTGCTGCATAATGTRCATCTTCTTCTTGTCGATCTTGTAGGTTGATGTGCGGATTGTTCCATTCTTATTGATGGGGAAACTGTTGGTTTTCCTTTTTTTATACTAACTGGCGATGGCGATGACGGCTCTACAGTCATACGTCGTTTTTGCACTAACGTTTTCGATACAAATTCTCTTGAAATGTCACGTTTAAACTGTTTTAATGTTGTTTTTTCTGGACACAGTTCTTTATAAATAACACGGGAATTAACTATTGAAGCATCAATAAAATAAAAAAAAATTCGATGCCACCACTTGTGACTTTTTCTGTCAATTTGGTAAGATTTTTTATTCTGATCAAACTTGTCGACGCAATTCATATTATTGTTATAGTCTTGTAGAACTTTAGGGCAATTAACCATAATTGCAGAACCATCTTTAGACTTCCTTTGCACCTGGGTTACATTTTGTGGATCGTGAAAATTAGATAATAAACTAACGATTCGTTTATCCTTCCATTTTACTATAGATATATTATCTTGATCAGTTGTTTGCCAGTCATAATCTCCCAGTTTCATATTTTTATCTGGACATAATTTTGGTAAATATTTTCTCGTTAAATTTATTGTTCCACAAGCATTTATTCCTTTCATTTTCAAATATGAAAGGAGGGGCAAACTCGTAAAAAAATTATCAATATAAAGATGATGGTTTTTGTTCTGTAATGGAAACGATAAATCTTTTACAACACGACCGCCTAAATTTTTTYCCACATTKTCACCAACTTTACCTGAATATATTTCGAAATTCCATAAGTACCCTTTTTTATCTGCAAGTGACCAAACCTTGTATCCCCTTTTAATAGGCTTTTTCGGCATATATTGTTTCAAAGTTGATCGTCCTTTAAATTTGATCATGGATTCGTCGACCGCAATAATTTTGTCAGGATTATAATACTTTTGAAAATTATATTTCAAAWTTGTTARATATGGCCTAACTTTATAAAGTTTATCATAACCTATTTCACCTTTTTTAGGCATCATGTTGTTATCATTTAGGTGCATAGTAGACAGCAACCAACCAATACGATTAACCGTCATTAATTGACTTATATAACTGTCGTGTGAAGGTCTGGTGCTGATGACCAATAATCTCTATAGCTAGGTAATCTTTTTATACCCATCAATATATTTATACCTAGAAATGTCATAATTTCTTGATTGGTAGTTTTCATATACAATTTTCCTGTCTTCATATATCTTTGCTGGGTATATAAATTAGTTTGTTCTACTATTAAATTTATGACTTCATCGGAAAATAAGAGTTTGAAAACTGAAAATGGTGTATGATCTTGTTCTTTGTCGATTAAATCACTAGGGCCTGTTGTTCCAATAAAATCGGATAATGGGTCAATTGAAAATTTTTCGTTTTTTGAYCATGTCGGTGGTATGAAATTGAATTCGATAGCATTTTGGGTATGATTAATAGGCACTTCGATTTGTGAAAAATTATCTTTATTTGAAATATTCGGTATAAGTACCTCTGGTGTACCCGAAGTAATTGTTGAACTGGGCGTGGGGCCGGAAGAAAATAATGAACGAGAAACATTTTTATTAAAATTTCTTAAATTTTTACAAATTTTATATGGACTAAGTAATTTTAAAATTTCATTGTCATTCAAATTTAGTATGTCTACTAAATCTTCATCTGCATTACCTGTATCATCACTAGCTTCGTTATCTTCTTCTACTACCATTATGGCCTTTTGTGGAGGTAAGTAGTCCTGGTCATCATCTGTATCATCTACGGTCGTACAACTTTGATCGTCTGATGGTAAATCTTCGTAAAGACAGTCAACTATAGAACTCTCATTTAATTGCATAGAACTCATTTTAATAATTATTATGCACGCAATAAACACTACCGTCCCGGTCGATTAGATTTTGTACACTGTCCATTTTCAATGTACCTACCTAATTTTTAAAATCCAAATAATGTTATTTTCGTCGTCAATATGAAAAAAAAAAACAAATTTTACAGGACGTAAAAGTAAACAAATTAATAAACCTAATTTTAAACAATTCATTTAGGGATAAAAATAATAAATAATCAAAATATACTTGATGATTATAGTATACCGACTATTCCCGTCACTACAGGCACGGTGGGTTATAATTTGTACACCGATTAGTGAGCGATRGCAGCAATGTCTTTTGCAGCTGGGATTATTCTTAATCTTGGTATCTCTTCGTCAACTATAACTGCACTTTTTGGGGTAACTATTTGAATAACTCCCATAATGTGCACTGTATTATGTCCATCAATCGTATAAATATTAATATCTGCGTTGTCAGCAGAATACTGTATAAATGCGCCTGCCGCGGGTGATAGAATTTTGGGTTAAGGGTGATTAACAACAGCGCTTTCGTACAATAGAACTTCTTTGTATGTGTTTGAAAATCCTAGATTTTATAACATATCTAATAGACGTGTAGATCCATATCTTCTATGAAGAAATACAGATATACCGAGTAATAATCGGGACAAAAAACTTCGCGGGCGAGTGCACTTCATTATTGCATGACTTAGTGCGGTACATTTATTTTCCAATTCATTAATATTACCTTTTTAATTTTTAATAATTATTTATTTTAAAAAAAATAATAGACTTTGTGGTATATTTTTATTAATATTATCGAACATTTGATTTACCGGAGGATATGTATCGGTATTAATCAAGACAGAACGAATGTCCTCTCTGATAATTGCTGCTGCTGCTTCTACAACACGTAGACGTTCTTCCGAAACATTAGATTTTTTATTTTCATACCACGATTGACACAAAATTTTTTTTTGCGTATCAACAAAACAAATAATTGTTAATTTAGCATGTTTTGTAGTTATTATAATATCTTTTCCATAACGAGCAGTTAATTTATAAATTATAGTTTTTGCATCTGGAATGAAATCACTAGTTATTGCATTTAGTAACTCTGTTAAGGTGAATTGACAATCATTGTTATTTTCTATGTAATAAAATATTTCTTCCATCGCTAATCTGATATTTTCATCATGTGGACGACCTACCGATCCACCACTTTTGTATTTATTAAAAGATATCAAACAGTTATCATGGTATTTCGCCTCAGCAGCTACTAAATCATATTCAAAATTAACTCTATCCCTTACAATTTTACCGAGTCTATCACCACGGGACTCAGCTGTTTTAATAATATTATCTTTAAATGAAAGTGTGCTGACCTGTTTAATTTTCCTTCGATATTCTTGTCGTTTTCTTTTCTCAACATCTTCGTTGGCTTCTTCACCACAAACAAGGCATAGCGTTCGAAAATCAAATTTACTTGATCGTTTTTTATGCGGTGAAGGGTTAGATGGACCTGCAGCGTTTTCTTCACGTTCTCTTTTAAATGAGGCAATTTTTTTTTTGTGTGTATACACTTTACGACACTCAACATGCACAGTTACCGATGTTACATTATTTAAAAACTCAAGATGTCCATCGTCTCTTTCATTACTAGCGTTTTTTAATGTTTGTAATCCACGCTCGACATTTACAGTTTCACCGACCGATAGCGAGTTTTCACATATAAAACAATTACCCGCCATTTAGTTGGTTATGTAATATAAGCAGTACTTGTAAAAAAATTCAGAACGCACAAAAAACACGATAAACACGTGACAACGTTCGTACGGACCGAACACAACTAAATACTCATCTACTGCTGCGGGCCGGTCCGGCACAGGAATGTCGAAGACAGCTGCGTCTATTGTTACTAAAAAAAGGTCGACCTATATATATATATATATTATATATGTATATGTACAACATGTTTCCCCCAACTGACATTCCAGACAACAGTAATATGTACAATGTACCTACATTATACATCTTGCATAAAACGAATGCATTCTTATTATCGTTATTATAATATGATATACTATTATATTATATTATTGTAATTTTGTATGGTAAACATTAAAATTTGTGTACCGCAAGTGCGATTGGATATATATATATATATATATATAACCATTTTGTAGAGAATTTTATCCTCTACAATTTTTGTTCGAGACTTTTTATTGTACAAACAGTATAAAGCGAGATATTAACGCAAAGGCTACTTGTTTTTAGCGAAAAAATCATATTTCATTAAAAGTGTACACATTGTTGGCCTTATAACGGAAAAACTATCAACATGACGTGAATATGTCAAGAGATCATTTTTATAGATAATTACCTCCTCTACAATTTGTATCTAAGACTTTTTTTTGTACGACCATTAAAAAACGAGATATTAAAAAAAAGGCCAATTTCGTGACCTTTGACCTCGAATAACCTTTAACGCGTACATGATATCGAGGTCGACTTTTTAGACATTGTTTACAATGATGTAATAAAGATGTGTACCAAAATTCAGCTAGGTGGGAATTTTTCCGAGCTGAACCCCTTTTTTCGTCTAATTGCACTGGGCTAATAATAAATTAATATGTATAATGTATAACATTTTTGTTATCATTATTCAAATTTATCAATATTTATTTCATTTGTGTTATCATTATTCAAATTAATCAATTAAAATGTGGTTTAATTTATTTGGTAACCACGGTTATCAATAATTTAATATTTCTTTATGCAACCCACCTAATCATTACACAATCATTAATCCTTACTGGGCCGGTAAATTACAGGGCCGGTAACGAATTTACAGACTGATCTTTATGCAACCCGCCCTAAGTCAGTTGTCAGTTGTGTAGTCAATGTATAATAAAGTCTAATATAACCATAATCATCAAAACATCAATAAAATGCAACTGCGTTTTTACTACCGATACTAATGCAATTTTTTTTTATTTGTGKACGTTTTATTATTTATTWTCATATGCACTTTGATAAAATATAAATATAAATATTATATTTTATATTTTTGTATAAATAGGATAGGGGAGATTATAAAGAACAACATTTAATAGGACATATTTTGTTTTGTATTCTTACTCATTATCAAAATTACACATAGTTAAAGTTATTAACAAAAAATTAAAAAAATAAAATAAATATTACTCATCATCACTATAGAATTCAGAATCCGAAGACGTATCGCCTACCGTCGCCGTTTTCTGCGGACAACATATCGTCTACAATAAAATCAATGTTGTAGAATTTTTCTTCTTCTTTCATTGTGTGACGTATAAAATTTTTCCACATCGTCTCATCCACTCGCCCTATACCTTCCAACAACAGTGTTTTTTCGTCACTTATTTTGTAGCTGGTGTTGTTCTCTTTTACGTGATCTTTCACGTTGGCCCACGCCAATTCTATTGGATTTAACTCACAATGATAAGGAGGGAGTCTTAAAACTGTTCTATTGTGTGTTTCAGCCAAATCGTCAATTAAATACTTGTCATATTGTGGTCTTAGTCTTTTTACTATATCGAGTAATTGAGGGATCGCCATAGGCGATCAATTACTTCACCTTTTTCCTGTAGCCATTTTATGATGTCTGCTTTTTTTGTTGTTGTGCTTGGAATTTTTTCTTTTTTCACAGAGTGATATGGGGCGTTGTCCATTATGATAACACAATTCTCTTTGAGTCGTGGTATTACGTCTTTCATCCAGTCGTAAAATGTGTCACCATTCATTTCTGCATGGTAGTCCGTCGTTTTTTTTTACTCAAAACACAGTAGACCACCTGGCACAAAYCCATCTTCAGACCCAATGTGAAGAACAATGAGCCTCTTACTTTTGCCGGATGGATTCTGAGACCCCGTCGTGAGATCTTGTAAGAATGCATCACGAGGCGATTTAATTGTTTTGTCTACACACGTTTTGCTGGTACAGTCRCCTGCGTTGACCCATGTTTCATCGAGATAGTACAAATCACGATATTTACGAATATTTTCTAAATATCGTCTACGCCATAATACAATTTCATCTTTTTCTATAAGAGCACTATTGCGACTGCGTTTCGTGTAAAC